TGGCTTCATCACTCTCCTCCTCCCCACTGAGAGCTGGTGTGTGGTGAGGGCACTGGCGCACTATGGCTGCCGTCGCATCATCCAGGTGGGGCTGCACATTGGTGGTGGTGGAGGGGAGTCCCCATTACCTGTAAATCCCTTTGAGTGGAGTGTCCAGAAAAGCGCTATATAAGTGTAAGCAATTATTACTATTAAGTATTAGATAGGACAGTGCGTCGTGCGATTCACGTGCCGCCTGGGCGCGTGGGAGAGAAAAGGGTGACCCCGTGTGGCGGATCTCAGGTACTGGACCTCCCGTGGCGATTCCGCACTGAAAAAGTCAGTCCGAGGGGACGATCCTGTTCAACTTTCCCTGAAATGATCACGACGACAGCGAAAGAAGGCGAAGAAGTGAAACGCGTGGAAATAAAATCTCGTCATGGCTTTAACAACTCAGGAGCACGAATACTCGGTGGAACGTCTGCAGTTAATAAATCAGCCCCGAAGACAGGAGCGGGACGGGACGGCGAGGTCTGCCGCCGGACGAGGCTACGTGTCTGCGGTGCTAATTTGGTCCTGCTCTGTTTCAGCATCGCGTCGCTATGACAACCGCTCTGGGGGCCCCCAATCACGCGTGCTTTCCCCTTTCCCAGGGTCGCGCGCAGGCCCCCCACAGGAACCTCCAGTGGAAGAGCAGCGGATCACACGGGCGGAGAAAGCTCCCGACTTCGGAGAAAACTTTGCGAGGAATCGCCGCGAGAAATTTCAAAGGTACGTTTCTTTTACACGCAAAAACTCTTTCATTAACAATGTAGTAAATTATGGGCGGCGCTGTGGCGCAGCGGTTAGCGCTGCTGCCTTGTAGTGCTGGGGCCCTGGGTCTGTGCTGAACCTGCTGTCTGTGTGGAGTCTGTATGGTCTCTCTTGTTTGCAAAAACAAAGACATGCTGGTGGGTTATGTTGCTTGCCAGGACTTTGAATTGGAAGAAGCTGTTAGAAAATGGATGGATGTAGTATATAGTCCTGTATATACTATATAGTATGTGGTACAGTCCTGTTAAATTAGGGGCTACAATCATTCCA